TATTACTCAGACTAATAAAAAAATTGAGTTTTAGTATGCAAATAGCAACACTTTTGGGGGAAGCTGTTTCATGCTGACTGCAACATGCTGGTTATTTTACCATAGTTGTCTTTGTTTTAAAGAATTCAGTGGTACACTATTTAAAGTTCAAAACATAAGTGTAGACCAGAGCTAACACATGACAGAAATAATGCATCAGTGGCCTGTGGATCCCTGTGTGAAATAAAATCCGTGCAAACTGTGACAATTCCAGTCTGGGCCCCTTCATTGGTTTTATGTACAAAATGAAGACATCAGAAATGACCCATTTCTCTATAGGATTACCTAAAGATTTTAGCCTCTTCATACATTAAATGAAGCATCATATTGACCATCAGAAGTTTTTATAATAATGGTGTAAATGATCATATATGAGGGTATTTAGAAACAGACAAAGTTGGCTCCAAATACTCAAGCCTTATGTTCTGTGTGTCACCACCCTTCCTTCCACAGGCCTGGCTGCAAGGAAATTGCCTCATTAAGCTCTCCAGTCTGAAGCTGCTTGTAAAAAATCTGGCTTATTTTCAGAAGGACATGCTATTTTGAAATTGTGCACCACTGTGCTTTAACAGAAGAGATTCTTACACCCCCCAAAAAAGTGCATTATGAATATTGTCTGTTACAAGAGTCTCCAAACTGGTGCTCCTGCTCTTTCTTCCATTTGAAAATGCCTTGACCCTTGAAGGGACTTGTGACATTGCCTGCTCACAAACAGGTGAATGCTGACAATGGACCTAAAACCCGCCCAAGCTAATAACAGGGGATTTTCTTTATCCGAGTTTCTGATGGCTTTTGCCAGATAGGTACTTTGTAAGGAAGGCCAAGGAACTTGTCCAGCTCCCATTGTTAAACAAGCAGTTCTGGTATTAGGAAATCACTAAGCCCCCAGTAATACAAGAGCAAGCCCCAGCTATTTAAAACCTTTACCTGATTAAACAAAAGTACATATTCTTACCTTAAAAAAAATCAGCTTTTCCAGCAGCAGCAGCAAAGTGGCAACAGACAGAGAAGCCCTTTTCCTTACCTTTTGCTAAAAGGAAAGGAAGAGCCTCATGAGGTGAGGAAGGTTAAATTTTGCTTATCTGTCCTGCATCTCATCACTAGAAAATCCACTGTGCTTACATTTTATTGCATCTTCAAAGGCATTTGCCTCGGTCTGTCACTTTGGAGGCTTCCTGGTCTGCGCCGAGCAAGCTCAGACACTAAAGCTTCCCTTCTCGACAGGAGCAGGAGGCCAGCAGGCAGCAGCTCCAGCCGATGGGAGCGCAAGGGGGGACAGGCTGCTGCCCAGTGCTCTGCCTACCAGTTTAGGCATACCCCCCTCCATCAAACCCCAGCTATAATGAAGCCTATGCATGAACCGTGTGTTTGGTGACTCTGCGTTTTTTTGATTAACCTCCTGCTGGCACGGTTGCTACATGAGGAGTTTTGCAGCATGGGGTGCTGGGAAAAGCAGCGGGCGCTGGCGTGAGGATGGAGATGGAGATGGGGATGCAGCCCAACATGGGTCTACCCAGGGCCACAGCCTGGGCACTGGGATGAGCTGGTGTCCTGTCTTGGGGCAGGGGAAGCAGTGACCAGGCACACCAAGACCAGCATTTTCCAACACAGCCTGCCTGCTGTTTCTCTTGAGTGGTCATTTCTTTAGTACACCAATAATCCCTGCATCCCACTGAGTTGACTCGACGTTTGAGGTGCTCCATGGTTCTGAGCCCCAGGGTTATTCACTGGTTGCAAATGATAGCGACTATGCACTGGCTGTGGCAATGCAGTGGTGGTGCCCATGAGATACCTTTGATCTTCCAGGAGCATCGCTCCTGCTCACAGAGCATCAGGATGAATTACAGGAGTGACAGAAACCAGGGCATGACCTGGAGGTGGCTACAGAGAGCTCAGGGTGATCTCTGCAATGTGTCTGACGCAGGAGTCGTTCCAGTGTATGGCTGAGGACTGGTGCGACCAAGAGCAGGTTGCAGCACTCCCTTGCTGTATTGTGGGCTGCACTGGTGCCTGCTGGAGCTCAGGAGCAGCATGCGGTGCTCTGTGAGACAAGGAGCCTATGGCCAGTCACCTGAATTCAGTGTTCGGTGCTCCCCAGGCCATCTTGAACAAACCCTCTGTGTCCCAGCTCCCTTTGGCATTCTGGCTCTGCAGCAGCGGTATGGCACATAGGTACCATTTTTCCTATAACCTGATTTCCAGAGGAGGGAAACAGGGGTGCCTGGACTGGCAGGGGACTGCCGTGCACCCCTGCAGGTCCCCTCCTGTGCTCGGCTGGGCTTAGATGCAGACAGGGATGGCGGTTGCCTTCCTCCAAAGCACAGAACTCCTTGACCATAAGGGCTCTGAATGAATGCAGTATGCAGTTTTCTGAGCCATGTATCTTTGCTAACCTTGGGCTGCATTTCTTGAGGATATCAAAAGGTATCTGACCCCCCCACCTCCATGTTCCATGCCAAATTCTAATTATACTTCTCAAAAAAATAAAACAGTTGGAAACTTTGCTTAAGAGCTGGCTAATGTTGGTAAAATCACCTGCTTTCTGTAACCCTTTCCTTGGACACAGCAGCACTTTTTTTGTTGTGGTTTCTCCCCTTCCATAAAAAAGCCAGCCTGAGGCAGAGGGCAGAGCGTGGGAAAGTTTAGCTCCAGTGACTGAGACTTGGGAAAGTTGCTAGCAGTGAGAAGCATTGCTTACAGCGGAGCGGAGCTGGGGTAGGTACAGTATGGCTACAAGCCAGTTAACTTGACCACAGCTCCTTTTTCAGCAGCAGTCCCACAGTCCCTGGCTCTCAAGACAAAAGGTGAACATGGGGAAGGCTTGGTCTGCCCGACGCACGCACACAACGTTGCAGCAGAGGTTTTTCATGTCACCATGCCCTGTACCCTTGTTTCACAGGGGTGTTACCATGCTGAGGGAACAAACTCCTGGGTCAGATTGCTCACGGGTAGCCCAGATACTCAGAGGATTTCAGTGACATCTCTCTCTGGCTTTAGCTGGTGTGATCCACATCACTGTGAATATTTTTGTCTCTAAAACAGCCAGCATCTCATCCAACCCCCTTTTCCTGGGTCAGTTCGAAAAGCCATCCCTCACGGCCTCTCTTTGGCAGATGCACCTTCAGAGCAGGGCAGTTTCACCACAAGGAGAGGACATGATTTTGCAGCTAGCAGCTGCTGGCTAGTAGCCAAGAAAAATGGGTGTTTGTGACCCACCGGAGCTGATTGCGTGCATCGTGAACGTCAGTGTCGTCAGCGGAACAGATACTCTGCATTTGACGTGTTTTCCCAGTCTGGCTAGGATGACAAGTTGAACCTCCATACATGAATATTTCAAACTCTCCTGAATAACCTGGTATTGCATGGAGAAAGTGGGCATTGTTGGTCAGCGCCCAGCTCCCCAGCATTGCAGTCGCGTTGCATACTCAGTTCCTGGGCTGACACAGACGCCCGTGGGATGCCAGGGAGGTCGGTGCCCAGCTCTGTTATTCAGCTGCCCTGCCTGGAAGTGGGAGTGGTAATACTGGGTCTCACCGTCCCTGCCAGGGCTCTGGTTAAAATACTCTGCTGTAAAACTCCTTGCTACCAAAATCTGCGTTTCTCTGAAGTCTTTGGGAGAGACCCAGCTCTCACACAGACTGAGGCTTCAGTGAGTTTACAGTATCAGTACCTTTTCCCATATTGTAGGACGACTCCACGGGGCTGCTTTTAGAGAAACCCATTTATCGTAGCACCACCTGCCCACCTACACAGTGTTGTACTAATACTCTCAACAGTCCCAGCATGCTGCACATAATTGTGTTTATACAGTCATGGCTTGGGTTTTCTTTTTCAGTTTTGGCTATAACCAAGTGTTTGTCAATGTTCTCTCACGCTTCTTTTTTTTTTTTTAAATACCCATATTATTTGGTCTTCCATCATATTATCAAGAATGCGGAACATCCTGTAATATTTTAATAGTCATCATGTTCATTGCTGTGTCTGGTTTAAGTGGGGGGGATCCTTCGCATTTGTTTATTTATACTTCATGTTCATTGCAGGACTCGTAATGTACAGGGCTCCCAAATCTGTGTTGCTGTACTGTATCCTGCTCTTTCTCCAAGTGTTGTGTAGTGTAATTTGTAATGTATTGGACTCTGAGGCCTGGCTGTGCATTTTTGACTTAGGTATTTTTCTAGTAGCTGTCCTTGCTTCAATATCTTCTGTGAATTATTGCCAATAACTGTTCCTCGGGCTGTTAAAATAGTCCTGCTCTCCGAGTGAAGGTGTGGGAGCACACCCTACACCTCCTTCTCCTCAGCTGCTGAAATCACTTTTCTTCTCTGGAATGCGCTCAGAGAATGATAACATGGCTGCATGTTTGGGGCTGCATTGTTTGTTCCCCTTCTGTGAATTTTCACAGATAAACGGACCATGCTTTTGCCTTGGGGACCCAAATGCATGACTGATAAAAACTCAGCAACAGAGCACTGCGCTTTTTCAGGGACCTCAAAACTTCTCCTTCACTTTGATTTACCATCAATTTGCTTGATGGTAAAACTGAAGTGCCCCTGTCTGTGTGACTTTGGTATAGCACATGTCAGTTATTTCAGAAGAATGCAGCTTTTTTGTAGTGAAGACCCACCCAAGTCATTTCACCCTGCATAGGAGAATGCAGAAATTCATATACCCCGCCCTTGGTTTTTTGCAACGCTTTGGGTTCCTGCTCAAGAAGACCACACAAATGAGCAAGACCAGGTAAAATATTAAGATTTGGAGAGTCTAATGAATATGGCGTTAGCATTGTTTAACCCAGGGGGTTTGTACACAATGGTTACCTGTGAGAATTCAAGGTCGTTTTCTGTCACAGCAGGCGCTCCTCGGGAACACCAGATTGATGCTCTTCCAACTTCTACTATCTCAGTAAGAAAAAAAAGACTATCTATCTCCACTAACAATTCAATTTGCTTTCTGTCCTCTAGGACTGCCTTAAAGCTTGTCAAGAACAGATCGAGGCGGTGCTAGTAAACAGCCTTAGGCAAGTCCGGCAGCAGCAACAGCAAAGCAATCCTTCTAAGATGGTGGACGAACTGGACCAGGCCAGCACTCCCACAGATGTGAGAGATATCAACCTGTGAGGACATCGGCACAGAAAGTCACGCTTGCTCCCCCCAGCCCTTTTATTTTTGTTATTATTTTTAGAGTGAATTTTTTTTTTTTAATCTGCTCCCACATAGAACGTATTTAAAGCTCTTTTAGGTTAAAAAAAAAAAAATACAAAAACTGAATAATGAAAAAAAAAAAGCATTTGGTGCCTGTGATGTTCTACAGAAGGGAATCCCACAATATATTTGGTAACTGCTATTTGATTATGTATCAGTGATATTAAATGCTTATAAAAGCATACAAAGTAGCTAGATAAATGTAAGCCTGCATTTGTGGGAACAAAGTAGAGTATACTTGTCTGTGTATTATGACCTAGTGCATACACCCCTTTTTTAGATTTAAGAAAGGAATCGTGTGTGCGATTTTATGGCTTGACTAGATTGCAAAGCAATAGAATAAGGGGTTTAGGGCAAAGTGGGAAAAGATCCCTGAAGCAATTGAACCATTTTGAATGCAGAAGAGATTTGCTGATCTGTCACCTCTGTTATTAGTCAGAAGTGTTTGTTGGATCTCTGTATGTTAGTTGTGTTTACTCTTGCTGTCTGTGGTAGCTGCTACCTAAGAAAGAAGATGCTTTATTTTGCCAGCCGGAAGAGCAGGTGGTTTTTTTGTTCGTTTGTTTGGTTTTTTGGTTTATTTTTCTTTTTTTTTTTTTTTCTCAAATTCCCCTCTCCCCTCTTGACTTTTTCTACTTTTCCTTCAGAAATGGTTCATTCTAAACACAGCAGCATCTTTGGCATAAGGGCAATTCCGTTTACCCAACTGTGGGCCAAGCCAAAGTTATCGAGTGTTCACATTAGATGGGGGAAATGCACCAATTAATTCCGACCAGTTGGCTAATCAGACCACCTCCGACCTTTGGATTGCAAGATGCGGTGGATCGTCTGTGAAAAGCATTATAGTCCTTTACAGTGCTAATGCTTCACATCAATGTTAACTTTTGGCAGCTCCTTAGCTTGGCCGTAAAGACATTTAAATGATGCTCTGTCCATCTTCCTTTTTAACATAACCTCACTGTGTTAAAGAAGATGAGATTTGGTTTGATCCCTCTTCTACCTACCCATCTTCCCCCACCACCCCCGCACACTTTTTCAGCATTTCATTAACTTTATTGATCCACGGTGAGTGTTTTTATAAACCATTTCATTCGAAAAGCACTTTGAAAATTGTTCCTAAGGGATTAAAAGAGATTGTTTTTGACAATTTTTCTGGGAAAAAAAAAAAAAAAAAAAAAAGAAAAGAAAAAAAAAGAAAAGAAAAAAAGAAAGAAGAAGTCACAAAAGCAAAGCATATCGCTTTTTATAGTCAATATTTTCCAGTATCTGGTGTACTTGGTTAGTTGCGGTGTTGCTGGAAGTACCAACACCTGCTTCAAATGACATTCCTGTCATGACATTCCGGATAAAAGCCTGACAATTTGTATTGTTCAGTGTCACAGAAGGATCTTAATACCACCTGCATGCTTATCTATGGACGACGAAAGAAAATTGCGAAAGACACAAGTGGTAAACATCAAGGTGTGTGACTTGGAGTTTTATTACAAAGGTGTATTCAGTGTACTTGAATTTATTTTTCTGCTCCATCTGTAACGAAGAAGCATTTAGATGGCAAAGGAGTTGGAGCAACTTTTTTTTTTTTTTTTTTTTTTTTGCACAATTGTATTAACAGTTTGCAAATATACAGTATGAAGCTGTTGGTTGAAATGTTAATGTTTGCATTTTTAAGACAAAAATCCAGAAAGAACATGCTACTTCGAAGAATATTATATGAATGGACTCAGCCGTATTTGGCTAGATGAGGGTAGAAAATGGAGTAAGATTCTAAGGTTTTGTTGTTTTTTTGGTTTTTGGGGGTTTTTTGGTTTTGGTTTTTTTTTTTTTGCGCTGCTAAGAAGCTATGATTTGTTTCATTCTTATTCACATTAACAGTACTTAGCTGTATTGTTTCACTGAGTGTGCTGCTATTTTATAAACATTTTTATAATATATTATTTTACTGCTTAAATTTCAGATCCTGAAGTAGATGGTTAAGTGGAGATATGATGAGTTCTTTGATTTACTGGAAATGCCCTGTACAGTTTTTTTTCCTAATAGCGTGTTCATGATTATTTTTTTTATTTTATTTTATTTTTTCCTTCTTTCTTTTTTTTTTTTTTTAAACTTCCTTTCTTCCTGATCACATCCTGCAAAGACGGTATACTTACCTCAGGTTTACTGGACAAAATAGAAATGGTTCCCATTTTCACAATACCTCACAACGTGACAGTTTGGTTTTTCCCCGGGGCCCGTGCTCCGGCCGTGCCGGGGAGAGGTTGCAGGCAACCGGGGCGCTGGCTCCCTTTCGGTCTTCGGTATCCTTTTCATAGTGGAAAAAATGCATTGACTCTCCGCCGGCGGCTTCGCCGGAGCAGGTCTGTGTTTCCCAAAACCAGTGGTGGGGACAGCCTCGCTCTCGCCACCGTCAACCTCCCGCCTTGATGTTCCACGTTGGGAGCACCTGAAGTTCAGCGACGGTGTCTCTCCTGGAGGAAAAAAATAGTTAATTTTGTGGAAGCAAGACTCCGGAGCCGCATGCCGCCGGCGTGTGTGTGGCAGATCAGATCATTCCTTGACAGCCCTCCTACGTTAGCAAACGTGGCTTCGCGGGGCGGCGTGCCAGAGGGTCCCCAGGCGGTGGGATGACCTCTCGGCGCGCTGGGCTGCAGCGAGCGTGGGCACCGCGTCCATCGCGTTGGCGTGGTTTGCTCCCCTCCGTGCCGTAGGTCGCATGTAGGCAGGATTAGTGTTGAGGGTGCCTGCCCCTGCTCTTCGTCCCACCTCCTGCGGTGTGGGACTGAGGCACCACGAGGATCCCCTCCTGCGGTATCGTCCCCCCAGGGCTCCGCAGCGCTGACGGGGAAGGGGGGTGAGGTCTGCCACCGAGGTCGGCTCCTGGCGCGGCGGTCGGAGTTGCGCTGGAAGGGGCAGCGCCATCCGGCAGCCCTGGTCGCTTGCAGGGACCCAGTCACCACCGGGGGTAAGAGTGTCCTCGGCTGCAGTGATGTATTCAAAAAATACTAACCGTCTGGTTACGCCCAGAGGCGTACTGTATTTGAAGTCTGGAAAACCTAGAACTTGAGCGTTTTCACAGTAGCATTCAAAATAAAAATACTGCATAGTACTCCTTTTTAACAGACATTAAAAAAAAAAGTATACTATTATATTGCAAATGAGGTGTGAGATTTTTTTCCCTGGATTGCAGAAATCATAAACCTTCCTACTGATTAATTCAAAAAAATGTGTTGCTGATTATACCTTCGCAAGTGCCAAAGGATTGGCACAACTGCTAAAAGCGTTTCTCTTTCAGCTTCTATTAATGGTACTCTGATGATCTTCCCCTCCCTCCCATTACTGTAGCGTAGGAGCACCTCATAATCAATTTATTTATATTCCCAACATGCTTGTGAAAAATACTGTTAATCCCATTTTAATGTCAATGATTTATGCTTGAATAATTGGACAGCTCTTAATTACTTAACAAACCACCTGGCCACTGGATTTTTTCCACTATGTTTATTACCATGTTCTCATGTACCTCAGAAATCACTCTTGGTTGCACAGTTTCTGTTCTCAAACTTTTTTTTTTTTTTTTTTTTTTGGCTTTATCGAGTGTGATGCCATATCAAGTCAACGTTATTCTCTCACAATGTGCTCTTTAAGAGGTGTGGATGTTTATATGGTCAGGGGATGCTAGAAAGTGCGGTAGTAGACATGATCAGTGTAAACAAAAGTATTTAGAAAGTATGCGAGGTTGTTTTCGATGGATAAGACTCTGATACAGTGTAGTCTTGATTACCTTTTAAAAGGTCTTCTTTGTTCAGTGTTGTCATTTTTGTTAATAACCTGTTGTTTTGACTAGTTTAAAGATGGTTCTAAGAAAAGTGTTTTGGCGGGATTAGGTATGCTGTATGGACAATAAACTCACCTTGACCTAAATTTGCCTGTCTTGGTTTTATTCATTCAGTGTGAAGGTGGTGCAAAAGAAGATGTGATCAGAGAAGCCTCTGATCTAGATAGATGGTGTTAGCAGGCATGTAAGATGTGAACTGTTGAATGTTGCAGTCACAGAACAAGTTTTCCTGTAAAACGTAGCTCGTTGCCTACTCAGTAGCCAAATTCTGGCGTGTTTCTTCTGTGAAATGATCCTGTGAGATTTAAGGAGAGCAAAGTCCTAAAAACAGTGAGTTGCTGGGTCAAAACATTTTGTGGAAATTAAATTGAGCTGGTGGAAAAGTCTTCATAAGTACACAGAGTGCATGTTTTTGCAACTAAGTGAAATATTATTTAAGTCTCCACTCAGTTATTTGTTGCATTTAAATTCTACTGCAAAAATTATGTTGTTTTTCTTTCTATAAGCTTTGGGCAAACTGTGAGTAAAAGGAGGGGGCTCTGTGGTGAAGCCAGCGGGACGAAGTGAGCCTCCACGCGCCGAGTCTCCTTCCTCAGCCTGCGGCCAGGAGGTGGGATGCTCACCCTCTCCCGCTTCCACCTCTCCTGCTTGTAGATGCTTTGCTGTGAAGTGACCGACCTTCTGTGTGACACGCTTGGCCTGACCTCAGCATCTCTGCTCCTCCACTGCCATCCAGTAGCAGTCTTCTGCTGAATTTCAGGCCTTTGAGCGCCCCTGGGGAGAGCAAAGAGGCACCGAAGAATGAAGAAGAGGTTATTTGGGCAGACACACCGGGGAAAAAGTAACACTGTCATAAAGGGAATAATACAGCCAAAAACAGAGAAGAGAAATGAAAGAAAGAAAAAAGGAAAAAAGAACAACCAAGATACAGCAAACAGGGAGAAGGAAAAATACTCAAAAGGAAAAACACAGGTTGCTAAAATGAAGAAATACACGAGCAAAAATAAATACATATGAACAAACAGAAAAAAAGTTACGAATGGGATAGGAAATACGAACTAAAACATGAGGTTCTGAGTCAGGAGATACAGGTCTTTCTAGCCATAATCACACAACTTTGGGACCTGTGGCTTCAGGCAAAGTCTCTTAAGACTTCCCTGCAAAGTGACCTGTGAGCTTCGTATTTCACAGGTTTTCTGCACCAAAGATAGAGATTTTAAAGCATAATGAGTCTGAATGTTCCTCTGGCCACCATTTAACAACATGACCAGCAATCTGCAGCATTTTGTAGGCGTAACTTGGAGCCTGTGAAGAACTGGAACTTGTGAGGGTTGTTCTTATACCCTCCATTTGTGGTTTAAACCTCAAAGGGGTGCTCTCTGGCCTAATTTCATGTTTTAGGGGATTAATTCCTTTCCCGCTGTAACATCACCAATAGTCCTCCTGGATGTGCTCTGCGGCTTTGTGTTTTAAAAGGGTTTACTAAATCTAGATGTAGCAGAAGAGAGATTTTCTGTTGTGGTTTAAATAAAGGTATGTTTTTAGAATTAGTGGATATAGGGTGCAGAAGCTAAAATTGAAATTAATTGGACACCAGCCTGTTCCCTTCCTTTAAAGAAAGCTGGCTGAGTGTTGAGAAGCCACATACAATAGGGTTAAGTTATGTGGCCTGTGAAACCATTTTGTATTGTTGTCATCTTACCATCTGCAAACAATCTCTGCCCACCACAATCCTATACTTTACATAAGGACAGCCTGAGGATTTTAAGGAGGGACAACATAGCAAAGTCATGCTTTAAAACAACTGCATGCTGGACTTTTAAGAAAACTTCCAAGGCAAAGGAAAGAAAGCTTTAGCACTGAGATTCCAGCAAAAAAAAACAAACCACACAATCGCTTGGTGTTTCCAATTTCAGTATACGAGTTAGATTATGTTTTATTTTATATTTCCCCAAATCTTTCTGTAGGGACTAGAAGTGCAGTTTATCTTTCTAAGCAGGGGATTTTCCTTTGTGTTTCAAAGAAGGTATCCTTAATGCTTGTTTCAGGAGTCTTTTCAAATACTTCTATTGCAATTGCTATATTTTTTAATTTGTCCATGAACTATGTAGCCACTCTTCATTCTGTGCTGCTCTAAAAAAGCAAAATTCTGTACAAATCTCATGCAACCAGCACAAGCAGAATGAAATTCTATCCCTACTGAAGACAGTGGGAACTCTGCTGCTGACTTTTAATAGATTTAATAATTTTCCCACCAAGTCCAGTTTGTTCTTGCCTCATACTGTAAATTACTAGTCACATCAATAAATGTAAAGCTGATGTAAAGGCA